CACCGCTGTAGGCAGGCCCTGCCAGCAAGGGCTGGGTGGACATGGCTTTGGGGCAGGCAGCTTTCAGTGTCGATCACGATTTTTGATGATTTGCATGGATTCTAACACATTGGCTTCATTGGCTGATGTGCTCTGTCGAAATACCTTACTTAAGAGGTAATCTGTAAGGTGTGTCTATACCACTCCCCACACCTCCACAATCCTTTCCGCAAACAAACTGGCTTGAGCAAGCAGCTATGGAGGCAGCAAAAGGAGAGCGATGCGTTCCTGACCGAGACGTCAGCGTGGAAGGTGTTCTGGACAGTGACCTTCCTTCGCAGGTGTTGACAGCACAGGAACCTGTGGCCACCGGGAAGGCAAATGGGGAAGAGGCAAACGGTTGCCTTATTTTAACAGAAAAATACTGATAGAGCTTTTTTGGGGAAAACTGTATTTATAGGGATTTGCACTGATGACTCTAAGAAGGAAATAGTATCTCTTTAATCTAGAAGTGGTCTCTGTTGATGAATGAAGTCAGTTGAGGTAAAACCGAGGCCCCAGCTTGCCTGGCTTTGGGCAAGGCAGCTAGAATGTTGCACAAGACACTAATTAGTAGTGATCTCAACTGTAGAGACCTTTAAAATGTGAAGCAAGAGAGGAAATGGTGGAAAAAAGCCTTGATGGCCTCATGTAAAAGCCAAGCTGTAAAAAGGAACTTTCAGGTTTCAGTAGGAAGATTTTTCTGCTTATTAATATGCATTGAACTACTTTTATGATTAAAGGATAAGTAAAGGCCCCTCCCCACAAAAGTAGCTCTTTTAAAGTAATAGGAACCCCCTTCAGGATCAGCTAGCAGTGTCTGCAGGACTCTGACCCGTTCCGGTCCCTGTCATTGTGCTGTTCGCTGGGCATTATTGTGGGTGGGCAGATGAACCGTGTGCTGCCCACCTACGTGTCAGCTGGAGTGGGAACCTAGCATGAGGTGCAGCAACCCCTGGAACTGGGGCTGGGGATGTAAATTGGTGGTGGGCACCCAGAAAGGTATGTCAAGATGCTGTGAATAAATTGGAAGCAGCACAAGCCGTCTGGGTGAATGGCAGGGAGTCCGAAGCATAATAACACATAAGGAAAATCTCTTTCGTAAACATAGTGGGATTCAGACTTGTAAATACACCCGGAAGATTCCTTGCTGCTCTGACCTGCCTGAAAATAATCTAGAAGTGTGAGTGCCATGGGACATTTTCCTCTGCAATGTTTTATTATTAAACATTTCATCCTTGTAGCAAAGTTGAAAGAGACTGGTGTGTTTTTCCTTGGATAAAATGAGTGGCTGTAAGTTATGGATTTGAAGGAAACTAAACTAGATGAATATATATTGAACAGAATTTCTTGGTATCCTGCATAAACAATAGCATTGCTTGAGGTCTCCATGCAGATCAAGTGGATAAACAGTTGGAATGCTTGAGGTCTCTGTGCAGATCAAGTGGATAAGCAATAGCAATGCTTGAGCTCTCCATGCAGATCAAGTGGATAAGCAATAGCAATGCTTGAGGTTTCCATGCATATCAAGTGGATAAGCAATAGCAATGCTTGAGGTCTCCATGAAGATCAAGTGGCCCGAGAAGAAGTCAAATCCAAGCTTAGGGACGGAGTGGCAGGTGAGGCAGGGGCCCGGCATTGTGGTTGAACCTTGATGATGTCCTCAGAAAGTATTTCCTTCCCTCAAGCGAAAATGCATTGTGTATCTTTCCCTTCACTGAATAACAGTACAATCCTTGAAATTCTGATGTGGAAAAGAAGGTCACATTTACTAACATGGTTTTCCTCTTCCCAGGAGAGCAGTTCCAGGACTAGGCCAGCTTTGTCCCTTCTTTTTAAATGCTTTACCTTCCAGTGATACTTAAGCTGTTTCCTAACCTCAGTAGGGAAAGGACCAGAAACTTTGGACGTCACAGGTTAGGGGTCCATCATAGCCACCTCTCTGAACGCCATCCAGAATTCTCATTAAGAATTTCAATCTTTTCAGGGGAATGTAGGGCTCAAATATGCGACCCTGTGTGAGTGGTCAAATGACAGGAAGAGGCCTTCCCTCTCAGGACAGAGCTGCCAGGGAGGGACACGTGTGTGCTGAGCTCCCCGCCTCGCTCCTGTCTCTGTGGATGCTCTGGTGTTGATATTTGCTTGTGGGTTCATGAACATGAACCTGGAATTTAAAACTAGATGAGAATGATGTTTTGTAGATGTTCTGCTTTCCGAAGATGCCTGGACCACTCTGTCTCATGTCCTCATCTCCAGGATATCAGTTTGTCAGTGTGGGGGCATGACCTCTCTGTCAGCGCTTTCGCCAGCAGATGGCGCTGCGGGCTCCAGCCTTCACTTTCTGGTCATGTGGTACAGCCACTGGACAGCCCCTTCCTATTAAAAGCTCCCAAGGCAAATGTTATTAGAATTACATTTTTGTAACATAAAGGAATAAAGTGACTTGGTTTTACTACACCTTAAAATCTCCCATTTTTACTATTAAATAATGTGATCTCGAGCCACACTATCCAGTAGGTAGCCCAGCCAGCACATGTGGCTACTGAAGTTCCTTCACATTCACTAAAATATACTAACAAGGTAATTTGAAAGCTGAACGAAATGGAATTCACTTCCTTAGTCACAGGATGCACAGTGCGGATGCTCAGGAGCACATGGGCTTGTGGCCACTTTTACTAGGCGGAGCAGGTTACAGGGCCGTCACTGCAGAAGCGCCTGTTAGTGCTGATAGCAGCTGACCTTCCGAGGGACCCGTAAGTCTGACCACCTTATTTATCTGTGACTTTAAGGGCCGCTGACCTGATAATAGCCAAAAAGAAATAACAGCCAGTATTTGCATGGCTCTTTCAAATTCACAGCTCTTAACACAAAGCCTCGTTTCCTCGTTAAGTCAGGCCAGTGAAGTACATGGGGCTGCTGTCCTTGTCCTTATGTTCTGTTTGGGGAGTGATTTGCCTGTGGTCTCAAAGCTTGGGCTTTCATTATTTGAAATTTTCATTATGAAAAATCTTTTAGTTCCTGAGATGACAGCACACGATTTCAGAAACAAGCTCTTAAAAGTTATAGAAGGAGCCTGGCCGGTGTGGCTCAGTGGTTGAATGTTGACCTATGAACCAGGAGGTCATGGTTGGATTCCCGGTCAGGGCACATGCCTGAGTTGCGGCTCGATCCCCCTTAGGGATGTGCAGGAGGCAGCTGGTCAATGATTCTCTCTCATCATTCATTGATTTTTCTATCTATCTGTCTCTCTCTCCCTCTCCCTTCCTCTCTGAAATCAATAAAAATATTAAAAAAAGAAATTATAAGTAAACTACTTTTACTATAGGCATATATAAAAGTTCTTGAATGTTTCTCTTTATTGGTTGCTTCAAAATTGGAGTTGACTATTTCAGTTGTCATGTGGATACACCGACACACTAGTCTGACACTTATGCTGACTGTGAAGTGTTATATAACCAAAGCTGTCCCTGTTATATCGAAGGCGCGTTGCCTCTTAGGAATATGTTGTAACTCTGCTTTGTTTGGGGTGTGCTGTAGTGACCCATGTGCAGCAGCCATTAATTAGTGACTTAACCTGGTGATTTATTAATGATGCTGGTTAACCTCAGTCAACTCATAATTGAAAAAGGTTTATAATAACTTAATAATTGGTGTTAAATGCAATAATCAAAGAGGAGAGAGTGAAATGGAGATCAGGAATAGTTAGACTCATTCAACCTGACCTAATTGACATTTATAGAACACCCCACCCCAGAAATACTTAAAAATAGGCCTAATGAGTCATGCCTGCATCTATGCAGAGGGGGAGCGGTAAAGTAAGTTATAACACTTCCATGGCCTTGAGGATGTGAGGCGGGTGCCGCACAGGGGGGTGAGGAGATGCTCCCTGTGGGTGTGTTGGTTTAGTCATGTTTGAAGCCATCAGAAACCACCTGCTATTCGATGACACTTAATGCCTTATCATTGCTCTCAAGTCCTAAGATTTGCACGCAGATATTTTTCTGAGCCAATACATAAATGATAAAGGGATTTTTATAAACAGTTGTTATTTGGATGACTTGTCTATTTTAAGTTTCTAAAAAGTCCTAAGTACTTGGGAGGGCAGGTCAGTTACCCCATTTTAACTAGTCACCCTCGGCACCCCTAAGCAGCAAGGCAAATGTGTTCATGTCTAGTTGGCTTAACTGAGTTAGCATCCCTAATTGGGCCTTCTGCCGGCTTGCCTTTGTCACTCAACATGATGCATGCTGAGAGGATCTCCCTAGGACATTTGGCAGTGGTTTCTCAGCTATTGATGAATTCTGGGGAAGTGGGGGTGGCCCTGGG